TCTGGCGCCCAGGCCCCGGCGGGTGGTAAATGGGCCGCGCCCAGGCCCCGGCGGGTGGCCGCTAACTCCATGGGGTGCACTGACTTCCTGCGGCGAGCACCCCGAAAACTGCAAACCGACACCACTTTGACTTGCAGTCGGCGAGCCCATCCTCGGGAACCCCTGTCCCAGCCACCTCTGGGCTCCTCCTGCCCCCCAATCCTTCCCGGGGACCCTCCTGCCCCCCAATCCTTCCCGGGGACCCTCCTCCTGCCCCCCTCCATACCAGGCCCAGGGTTTCCGCCCTCCCTCCTGCTGCGGGGGGTTGGGGGATGTCACGGTCACCTGACCGGAGTCCACCGATCCCGGGGACCCTGGACACTGCCAGGCCGTGTCAGAGGTCAGAGGTCAGCCCCGAGCTGATTCTTGCTGAGTCATGGGCCGAGTGGGAAAGAACCCCTCCCTCCCGGAGGGCGGGCGTCGGGAGGCAGGTGTGTGGGGAGCCACGCGGTTGGGGTTCATTTCCGGCTGGGGAATGGCTCCCTTCCGTTCCCAGTTCAGGGGTGTGCGGACCCCAGAAAGGAAACCAGCAAAGGAGCAGGTCCCTGAGGTCGGGGTCCTGCTGAGGCCGAGCAGGGCCGCCTCCCCCCCAGTCCTACCTGATGGAAGGTTCTTGACCCCCATGCGACCCCCAACCCCACTGCACACGCCTGGACAGTCTGTGCTGTGTCCCCTCCCAGTGAAGCCAGAGGGTCAGTCCCTCTCCTAGTGTCACCCCAACAGGGACCGTGCCACCAAGCCCTGCAGGGTCAGGCTGACCCTGTGTACCAGCCACACACTACAGTGCCCCCCAAACTGGTCAGATAGAGACCCCCCCACACTGTGGTCAGATAGTGAGGCCCCCCCACAATGTGGTCAGATAGTGAGGCCCCCCCAAACTGTGGTCAGATAGAGACCCCCCCACACTGTGGTCAGATAGAGACCCCCCTGCTGCGGTGGGACAGGGGGCCCTGGCACAGTAGGACCCCTGTGGCCTCCTCAGTCTGGTTCTGGTGCCGTGAGGGCGGCATGGCCACCGCTGTCCAGCGGGGCTGTCAGAGGGCCGGCAGCAGCTCTGCCGATGCCTGAAGGACACACGGGCTCCTTCACCTCCCGCCCCAGGGGAAGTGGACCGAGAGACTCCCAGGTCATTGTACACAGAGCCCTGACCCCCACATTGTCAGGCAAGTGTCTCCTGCTGGCCCCCGACCCCGCCATCCACCTCACCCAGCTGCGTGTGGGGAGGGCGCGCTGCGGGCGACTAGCAGAACCGCTGCCCCGGCCACCACAACGTCCAAGGCTGGAGCTGGGCAGGAGCAGCAGGCATGGGGGCCGGGCAGGGCCATGGAGGCAGTGAGGTTGGGGCGAGCGGTGTGGTTGGAGGCTCATTCGAGCCCAGGACAGACAGCCTGACGGTCACAGCACAGGGCTCCGACCCCATCCTGAAGGAAGCGGGAGCAGGGGGGTGACAGACGGGCTGGGCCGGGCCAGGACTCAGCTCATGGGCTGAGGAGGCTGCAGATCTGTGAAGTAGGGCTGTGGGGGGGTGGGGAGTGTAGCCTAACCCCCCCTGGCTGGACAAATGGGACAGCTCTGTGCTGAGCTCGCCTGGGCCCCGTGTGCTCTCTGGCCAACCCTGGCAGCTGCACAGGAAAGCGGAGGGAGGGACGTGGCCTGGGGTGTGGGCCACTCGGCTTGTCTCCTCTGCACAGGACCAGGGACCCACAAAACAGCGTTGTCATAGAATCAGGAGAGAAACATGCCCATCATCATAAACCCGACTGCATTATGTTTACTTTATACCGACAGGCATAGCCCATTACTGTTACGGTGGGAGGGAGCACCAGGCAGGAGTGTGGGGCCACGAGGCTATGAAGTGACCCTGAGGGGGGCGGGCGGGGGGGGGGGCGTTGTGCACCCAGAGTCCCGCCTGGAGTCTGGGCCCCGGGCTCTCCCTGGGTCCTGGTCCTGGGGGAGCAAGGCCCAGGCTGCTGGCTCCTCTGCCGTCCCCCAGCTGGGGCACATCCTAGACCAGGGGCGAACCTTCTGAGCTCGGCATGTCAGCATTTTGAAAAACCCTAACTTAACTCTGGTGCTGTGTCACATACAGAAATTTTTTGATATTTGCAGCAATAGTAAAACAAAGACTTATATTCTTGATATTTATTTTATATATTTAAATGCCATTTAACAAAGAAAAATCAACCAAAAAAATGAGTTCGCGTGTCACCTCTGACATGCGTGTCATAGGTTCGCCATCACTGTCCTAGGGTCTGGGGTGCCCGGAAGGCCTCCAGGCCTGGGCGAACGCCAACCCAGCCCAGGTCCCTGCCGGCCCTTAGACACTGCGGGCAGGGGGGTGGGCAGTGGGCCCGGTGCCCCAGCCCTGGTAACGTCTTCCTGCCCCTCCCCCCAGGCCCCCGGCCTCAACATGGCCCGTCGTTCCCAGAGCTCCTCCCAGGGAGACAACCCCCTGGCACCAGGGTACCTGCCACCGCACTACAAAGAGTACTACCGCCTGGCAGTGGACGCGCTGGCGGAGGGCGGGCCCGAGGCCTACAGCCACTTCCTGGCGTCCGAGGGGGCCCCCGCCTTCCTGTGTCCTGAGGAACTGGACCACGTGAGCCGCCACCTGCGGCCCCCACAGTATGTTTCCCCGGAGCCCCCCGAAGGCAGCCCTCCCAACGTGGACATGGACGGCTCCTCGGGCACCTACTGGCCCATGAACTCAGACCAGGCGGTGCCTGAGCTGGACCTGGGCTGGCCCCTGACCTTCGGCTTCCAGGGCACGGAGGTCACCACACTGGTGCAGCCACCGCCCCCCGACAGCCCCAGCATCAAGGATGAGGCTCGGAGGATGATCCGCTCTGCCCAGCAGGTGCGCTGGCCTGGGGCAGCGGGCAGCGGGCAGGACGGCCTGAGCTGGACCTGAAGCATGCAGCTCCAGAGGGTGGGGGGGGGGGCAGCTGCAGTGAGGGTGCCCTGGCCACCTCTAGGGTCACCCAGGGCTGGCTTGCCCCAGGCCGCAGGCTGCCTCTCTGCCTCGGTTTGCTTGTCCGTGGTGATGGCCAGTGCTCAGGAGCTCAGGGATGTTGAGTCCTCTCTGGGCCTGGACTTACTGTCATACAATGGTCTCTACCCTGCCCGTGACCCAGCTGAGGGCTCCTACCCTCACCAGGCAGTTGGTCCACAGCAAAGGGACCTGTTACACCACGGAGACAGGCAGCAGATCAGATGCTAAAGACCATCCTCTGCCCGCGGCCTAAGGGTCAGGGCAGTCCAGACGTCTTGGGGCGGGTGGGACTACGAGGGTTTCACTCACCTGCTCTGCCCCGGAGGGAGCAGCCACCCCCAGCAGATGCAGGCCCTGTGCCTGCCTAGGGCTCCATCACGGGCCACCCACCTGACCAGCAGCCCTACGCCCCCTCTGACAGCCCTCCTGACCCCATTCCCGACGGGACCCCTCGCCCCTGGGATGGCCAGTGGCGGTTTTGCAGTTTGTGGGTGATTCAGAGGCCCCTGGGCTTGGTTGGAGAACGGTGGGGACAGCAGAGGGTTCTGCCCTTGGTCCTTGGCCCGCCCCACAGGTGGTGGCCGTGGTGATGGACATGTTCACCGACGTGGACCTCCTCAGCGAAGTGCTGGAGGCCGCCGCGCGCCGCGTCCCCGTCTACATTCTCCTGGACGAGATGAACGCGCAGCACTTTCTGGACACCGCGGACAAGTGCCGCGTCAACCTGCACAACGTGGACGTGAGTGGCGCGGGAGGTGGGGGGGCGTGGGGGGGTGGAGGGCGCCAGGAAGGAGGGAAGGGCCCGCCGCCGATACCTGACGCCTCTCCTCCCCAGTTCCTGCGGGTGCGCACTGTGGCCGGCCCCACCTACTACTGCCGCACGGGCAAGTCCTTCAAGGGCCACGTGAAGGAGAAGTTCCTCCTGGTGGATTGCGCCGTGGTGATGAGCGGGAGCTACAGGTGCGCAGCCCCGGCCCCTCCCCACCGGGGCTCCTCCCGTAGCCCGTCCCAGCCCGGCTGCCCCTCCTGCGTCTCTGCAG